AGGCATAGCCAACTACAAGTACTGTATGCTAAGGTGCCTTAAAGGCTCCGTCTGCTACTTAACATGCTACAGTGTTATGTCCCCCTATATCCAGGGTAAGCAACCTGATCCACGGAGGGCCAATGTGGGTACCGGTTTTTGGGATGATCTCTCAGTCTGCCAATAGCAGGACTTGATGACTGGAGTTGGGACTGCTTTATTATTCGCTGACTGAGAGATCTCAAAAACGTGCACCGATGCTGGCGCTTCATGGATTAGATTGCCCAACCCCTGTTGTGTAGGAGTCCTGCAAGGCATTTTAGCTTACAGGATGGGAGATGTGGAGTGGGATTAATTGTCAGAACAAGTTTTGTTGAAAAGCACTCTTGATTTTAAGAATGCTGCCTTGACTGGCTTTGTGTTCTGTGGTGCTGCTGAATCCCACCTCTTTCTCAGAACTTCCCTCATGTGTCACTCTGGGCATTGAATAGATGCAGGCATTTACAAGGTTCCAGCAGCAGCCCGTAGACAGTTCTCTCTATCTGCAGTACTCATCTCTCTTCCTGAGTTGAGTTTTCTTTGTGTTTTCTGAATGTTATGTGTTGCTATGTTTGTTCCTCTGTGACAGCCTTGTGTTTCATGCCCTTTTTGGTGAAACTGGAAAGGCTTGCTTCTGATCTATACTTGTCCCTGTACTGGAAGAGATATCTTGCAAGTTTAATAAGTATTCATGGGTTGTCTTCCCTACAGATTAGTCAATTGGTCTGTTCAGGTACATGTTATTTTGGTTATTTCTGTATGTGGTTGAGCACACAGGGTCAGCTCAATAAGAAATACTAGCAATGAAGGAAAGGTGTGGTCACCAGAAACTTCCTGTTCCTGCAGAAGAGGAAGTTTGGGGGATTTTAGAGTTAAGGTACTTTTCTGCAGAATGTCTTGCACTCTAAACATAGCTGTACATAGACTGGCAATGCAGAGCGATAAGCATTTTCAAAGATTCATGATGATTATCTCATCAAAATTTTGGCTTAATTTTGGGTATGTTTTGTCTGCCACAGATTTTTATGTTGTAGCACAGGCTGCTAGACACCTGACTATTTTTACGAGTGGTGGCACGATATCATCAATCTTGTCCTTGTTGAATATTGTGTGTTCTATATCCCCTAATATCCTTCATTTGACAATAGGAAGACTTGAACTGCTGTATTTCTGTTATCTCTGACTTTCTAGACCAAGGCATAAGCTTAGTATGCTTCATTGCACACAGATGTGCACTCTGTAACCCTTCTAGCAATATAGTCTGGCATAGCATAGTAACCAATAAGTTCTGAGACATTATGTGTTAACCTTTTGCACTGGATTGTAAAATAGGGTGGAGTTAGTGATGGACCCTGAGAAAATAAACACCCATGCCCGTTTACACAGGCTCCCTGGCTCCTTGCTTACTGTGTAATGTATGTCTGCCCTGGAGGTTAAGGAGAACAAACGAAAAGAAGCATTACCTCATCGTCCATGTTTGTGTTGCCTGTGTCACGCATGGCCTGCTCCGGTTTCATTGTTAACCCCCTCCTCCTTCAGACATTTTGCACTTGGCTTGTGAATTAGCTGCTCAACACATGATTTTAGTGAGTGATCTTCGAGACTAACATTTGGAAGCTCTGTGTATTTGTATGCCTTGGTAGTAAACGAAATGTAGGCTAAATCCTTGGGCTGTTACAGTGCACATGTTCATTCTGTACCGTTTGGTACATGTTTTTTGGCTTTGTACATACAATGAAGCAAATAAAAGCATTGCTGAATGTACCTAAAATCACAAGTAGATGTTCCACACGGTGAACATTATGCTAATTATGCCTGAGTTGGTTTTGGCTAATGCTGGGTACAGTCAGTCATAATCTGCGATTTGGGAACGTTTTGGTTTCTCAATAAATTGCACCAGCACTGGAGAGAAAATAGTTCATACGGCCAAAACTGTTTGTTCTGTCATGACACCTTTGAGATGTTCCTGGAAACCCATGCTAACTAATGTGAAACGACATCATCTGAGTGTGTGTGTGTGTGTGTGCAACTGGACCAAGGCAGAAACAGCCTCTAAGTTAGTCTCCCCATGGCGTCTTATGCGCTTCAGCCAGGAAATTTAGACAGGGCTAAAAAATAATATGGCTATAGGGGTGTTTATCGCCACAGATATGTGACCATACTAAACTAGTAAAGAACACAGGGTTTAGAAGCTGAATTTAGTTCATTATGATTGTAATTTTTTATTTTAATTTTTGTTTAACTTTAATTTATTTTGCATGCTTATTTTTACAATGCCCAGATACGCATCTCTTGTTATTCAAACATGTCAACAGCTGTGTTGCCTTTGGTTTAATTGTATTTGCAGTTTCAATTTCAATAATAATTTCAAAACACATTCTGTTTTCCCTGCTGTACTGAAATTGAAAGCTGAGGATTGTACTGAACCATGAATTTTGTGTACTGTTACACCCCCACTAAATGTACCTTTCAGGAGTGCAACAGGCCAGTTTAGATGCTACTCACTGTTTTGCTCCAACTTTCTAGTATATGGAATTTTGTATCTTGTAAAAGCTCTCTTTCCGTCAGTTTTCAAGAATCTGTGTAATCTAAGTTTAACCTGTTTGTATGCCCTGATTGAAGTTTTGCACCTCATAATTGGGTTGTTTATGAGTTTCTACAATGGAAGCAGTGATTAAGCTGTGAGGTGGGATGAGCTTGAGACATTGAGACATGGACAAGGATTATCAACAGACCCTAATCATGTAAGGTGAACAGAACTGCTCTCACGTATTGACTGATACAGAAAGACCTCAATAATTATCACTCACTGACTTGCCATAGGATTGTATCATTCGGCATGTTTTTTTTTTTTAACATTTTATTTATTATTATTATTTTTAATTTATTTTCAACACTTAAAACGTAGGTCTATCCTGTCATACTGTATCCCTTCATGCAGATCAAGTGCACTGTCTTGTCACTCATGTTCTTCAACTGCTTCCTAGAAATGTGCTATGGGTCTAAGATGACAGCACAAGTAAAATGTATGACTATGCAGCTTGTTATTTTGTGGTAAAAATAGTTGAGGGTAGAGAACTGTGAAAGTTAACAGGAGATGGCCTTTTGTATTCTTGTCCTGTGCCACTGTTCATTTGATTCTTGTGGTCTTCTGTGACTGCTGCTGTTAACCTGATCAGACTTTCCCCTACCCAAAAGTTTAATTTCAGAGATTCCTGTGTAGTTCTTGTTTTTATCTGTCCAATCAATCATCCACCCAGTCTGTATTTCACTGATACACAATTAGTTCGGTTATTTTTGTAGTGTTACTTTTACTCATTCTCCAAAAGACATAAGAAGTAGAAAAGTCAATTCCAAAAAGTCATGTGAAGACTACATATTTCCTGTAGTGGTGTTCTGTGCTTGCACTCTTGTTTTCCCGGTAAAACATTTTGAATTTATTTAAGAATACACCTGTCCTCTGCTAATCCCCTGGTGAGTCATGGAGGGAAATGAGCTTTGGAAAGTCAGCTCGAGTTCAGCTGAGCTTCTTAGTCTATGTAGCTACACCTGCTGTTCTGACTTTAGCACCTCAGATTGTGGGGGAGAATTTGGGCATTTACAAGTGTCAAAGCCTTTTGCCCAAGCTCACCATTTTAAATTAATAATGGAAGCGATGCTGATACACAACTTTTTTGCACTAAATGATTTGTGCGTTATAGAAACAAGATGTACTTAAAGAATTTTATACACATCATTGCAGTCTACAATCAGTTTACACATGCAAGGGGGGGGGGTGTTTCTGACCTGGCTTTCAATGGTCACTACTGCTGGGACACACTTTAGTTGGTAATGCTCTACTCTATTGGCACATTTTTAATTCTCCGGGAGTTGTTCCATAGTATAGCCCACTTGCTGTGTGGCTTTTAGCCTTTGAACAAGCCATAATCCTGTGGAGGTATTCCTTCATCTGCTTGTGCTTTGTGGCAAATGTTCCCTTCTAGGTCTGTGTTCATGCGTAGTAGAGCTTTGTAAAAAAAATAATAAAATAAAACATCAGAAATGCTGAGTATTTGTGAGAGACTTTCTGAGCAGCACTCCTCTCACATCTGTTATTGTTAGCCTCCTCTGTAGCTAAGTCACAGTCTTCTGTTTGACTGCAGTCACTCTGGTATCTCGCCCAGGACCGTGCTTTGCCATATATGGGGGGGAAGCTGCCTCTTACCCAGCCTGTCTGGCCCTATGTGTGTTTTGGGCTCCCACTCCTCAGGCAAAGGCAGGGGATGTAACTGTAAGGAATGGTGAGAAGCTGGAAGGTGGGGGGGCGGGGGCGTCAAGCTGTGCTGGGAGTCAAACCAGCACCTTGCTCTTTAAACTCTGTTCTGCAAAATAATGTTGGCTCAGCCGCTGTGCGATTCCTTGGAGGGCAGGAATCTGGCTGCCTGTTTTTTGATGATGATGCTGCAGTATGTTTTCTCATGTCACCTCTGTGGGTTCTGTGGCTTATCTACAGCGGTTTGGTTGGTGTGTGTCATATGTCATCATATGTGATGCTGCGAGCTACATTCCTGTGGAAATTCACCGGCCAACACCATTCAGCAACAGTGTTAAACAAAAATCATGCACAGAAATGAGCAAACGATCAGGTCATGTGACTGGGAGGGCTGTGATTTCGCTTTTTAAAACTCATTCTGAACGCCTGGGCTTCCGGGCATCCTTCAGCACATGCTTGTGCCTGGTGCATGTGTATACATGTGTTTGATTTGTTGGCTTTATAATATCTATATTATCGATTTTAGAATCCTAATAAATGGGTGAAGATGCAAGTTTCTGGATGAAATGGTGACTAAAAATGAAACAGTATGGCAGCAGTTTAAGCCCTTTTTCATACTGGTATTGCTTCTGCATGTGTGAGGCCTCTCTTTTTAACCTGAATTGCATTGTTTTTTTTTTTTTTATCTCACCGGCTCCACTCCATTCTTTTTCTTGTGTTTTGACTACAGGATGTTGAGAAGGAGAGGGAGCTGCGTACTCGGTTCAGCAAGGAGGAGATTGGAAGGAAAATTGAGCAGTACAACTTCTCAGTGAAAGACCATCTCAAAATGACCCTGGTGAGTAGCATTAGCCTGCTGACAGGTGCACTTATGCACGGGGGTTTGGAGCATGACGACAGCCTGCCATCATGCTCACGTTGCCCTCTGTCAGACTTCTGCTGACTGTCATATTCACCCATCCCTGTCCTTGTCTTCTTGGAGCTGGTTGTATTTGGCCATTATTCATGTCAGTTTTTCCTGCTATGAGGTTTTTAAGAGTGGCTATGTTTGAGACTGTTGTTTTAACGTTCAATCTCTTAGCTTTAGATTACCTAATAATATGCAACATAGTGCCTCTTGTGTATTTTGTTAGAAGGAGGAATCCTGTTCGCTGCTGTTAGGTTGCTTGGGCTCTATTTTAAGAAAGTCACATTGACTGCAGTCCTAAACCAGTATCTGTGGACAGTGTTCTGAGTGGTAGTATTTTCTATTGATTTCAGTATTTTTTTTAAATTTTTTTTTTTTTATCTTAGCTACTTTATATGTTTACATTTCAATTTGTACAGCATTGTCATTTATCACATTGGATGCATTGGTACCAGTCTCCCTGGCTTGAATTAAAAATGATCCTCTCACCTCTCACGTGATCCTGTCTGTTCTGCAGAATTCAAATGGTGTGTACACTGGATTCATCAAGGTCCAGCTGGAGCTGAGGAGGCCCATTACTGTGCGTGGTGGTAAAGGCGCCGGGCCTGGTAGGGGCCCCGAGCAAGAAGAGGCCTTCTATCTGCCCAGAGGCGTGGTAAACACGCTCCACATCAGCAGCGTGAACACAGCACATGAAGTCATCAGGGCCCTGCTGCATAAATTCACGGTGGCTGATAATCCAGCCAAGTTCGCCCTGTTCAAGCGCTGTCGCCGTGAGGACCAAGGTGAGCCAGGTTAAAGAGCATGGATAGGGTGGGAGGTGCGTGTCACCTAGTGCTGTTCATCTCCAGGTTTCATCACCCATCCCCCGCTCCATGCCTTGCAGCCACACAGACATACTATTGAGTAGCTTATACCTCAATTCCAGGTCTCAGCAGAGCTCAGATTTCTCAGTGTGTATCTTTGCACGCGTGCTCTCACAGCACCAACAGCTGCCTTCTGCCTGTCGAAAGACAACACTTGCAGATTTCAGTTGCCCTGCTCCTCATTCACCCCCCCCCCCCCCACCTCCACATTGATATAAGCTAGCAGCTGTTGAGCTGTTTCGCTCTTAGAAACACAGCTGATTTTATAGGAGAAGGCTGCTGCGGCTGTGGGTATCTAATTAAGTGTTTATATCTGAAACAGGATCCCTAACAATGTACGCTGCTGTGTGACCCCCACGTACAAAATGGAAGTCATGCATTAGGAATATACAGTGTTATGATGAAGAATAGAACAGGGAGGAGTTTGGGCAACCGGCAGATTGGCTTGTAGCTGCTAGGCTGCAGCTGTGCTAAAGTATCTCTGAGAAACAAGAGACTCTCCTTCAGAGGGGGGTACATCTCTGTGTCAGTAGGGGATAGTGTAAGCCCACTAATAAATGGGTGTCTAGACAGGCTCCGAAGATTCTGGGGAAATTTTACTGCGATGTGGTGCTTGCTGGTGGACTTTCTGCTGACTTGTTTCACCACAACATGAAAAAAAAATCTCCCCCAGACTTTCAGCACATTTACCACATTGTTCTGCATATGTTTAAAAAGTCCTTTGAAACAACACACAAAAATAACATGTTGGGTGGGCATTTCTAAGTGGGTTGACTATGAATGGATGGAGGTAGAGGAAAAATGCAAGCACAGATGTTGTGGTGGAATGGTGGGATAGCAGCGTTCTGGGCTGTCGGGGTTCCTGTGCTCAGACCTTCCAGTTAGAGCCTGGTGTCTCCAGTGAGCTCAAGAGACAGGTATTACTACCCCGACAGCAGGGGGCAGAATGTCTTTCTGAGATCCTCACGTCTTTAGCTACCAGTATTTTTCACATTTAGAAGTCAAGCAACAACAAAGTCATTTGGCTGTGTCCCAGCGTTATGGCATATCTGGCTTTTTTCCATGCTGCAGTGTCGCATGATCTGAAGACATTGTTTCGCAACATTTGCAATCTTATCCATTTAGTGACCTTGATTTAACTGTCCTTATAAGCAGTATGTGGCTATGAACTTGTTTGTTTTGTAACGGGGGGGGGGGAACAATGTATTTGTATGCGTAAATTAATTTAATGTGTGTGGCTTACAGTATACGTGTGCAAGCTGGCAGAGGAAGAGCACCCCCTTTTCCTTCGCTTAGTGGCAGGACCCAACATGGATGCACTGAGCTTTGTCCTGCGGGAGCAGCCCACCGGCGAGGTTATTGTAAGGCTCCAGGTTTTATTGTATACACAATGACTATTGTGTGTGTGCTATAATGAATCATAATCGAATGTGGTTTGTATCCGGAACCGTCAGTGGTTAAGCCACAGATGTCACTGTCTCTCCAGTGGGATGCCTTCTCTATCCCGGAGCTGCACAACTTCCTGCGCATCCTGGACAAGGAGGAGGAGGAGCAGCTCCAGCTGCTCACCAGGCGCTATGTCACCTACAGGCAGAAGCTGGAGGAAGCTCTGAGGGCAGCAGGGAACCCTGGGTAGACTGGCCCTCCCAGTGTGGGTGAAGGGGGCAGGATGTGGCCTGACTGGACTGCATGTGAGTCGCTGACAGGGGGCACGTGGAGCTAAGATTTGCTGCTGCTGCTGCATGCAGATATGTGTGCAACATACAAGGTGAACACAAGAGGGCGGTGTTGTTGTGGGGCCTGGTTAAGCTATTTGGAAGAACTGTTTTTGGAAATCCAGTGCTTAGGGGCTTCCTACTTTAACACGGCTTGAACCTTCCCATAGTGCACCTTGGCTGCAAATCTCCTTTATCCAGCCACGTCATCTTTGTCCATCTTTTATGCAATTTTGTTCTATAATTTTATTTTTTTTTAAGTGAACGATTTGAAACACTGTTCTATTTAATTAGTGAAGCAATGGTTTGTAAATATTTTTTTATTTATGTGGTTGAGGCTTTATTTGTTTTATCTTAAACACAAGCAATGCTTGCCATTTATTTTGAAATTATCCTTCATCGAGGCTGACATTGAAAATGGGCACAAAAAATGAATAAACTGGTTCAGCAGCTTTGTTTATAGTATTGAATCCTGGGGTTTTAGAGAAGGGGAACTGATAGTCTGCTGCCGTCATTCTGCCTGCAAAGAACAGAATGTTTTGACATGAACAAGACCCTGTTGAGAGTGGGTTCATATCTCCAAGGGAAAAAGTGAAACAGAGAAAATAGGAGAGACACGTGGTTTAAGTCCACAGTTTATTGGCCTCAGAGTTGAACTGAAATACAGTGATCTGACGGCATGATAGTGAGAGAGGAAAGAAGTAAGTAGAGATTTGAGTGCTTATCTTTGGATGTCAGGCCTGAGGGTGACGGCAACTGGAAAATGACTGGCTTGCTGATAAATGCTGGGAGAGATTGAGGTGCACTGGGCCTGGGCTTAGCAGGCTGCTGTATGAACAAAGGGGGCCATGGTATGTTGATGAGTGGGTGAAGGAGGAAGTTTGGGTTGTGCAGTGGGAAATACTGGAAGTTGAAATTAGTCTAGCTGGTTAGTGTATTTTGCCGGTGGTCTGGGCTCCATCTTCTAGCACTGAAGGCCTTTCAGTGTCGTCGTTAAAGGAGCAACGAGAGTGGTCTAAGTCCAGGCACGGCCATGACATGGTGCTGTGATCTGCAAGTGTGGTAGGTTTCAGTGGAATGCACGTGATGATAATGGAAGGGTCTTCTATTGACCTAATCTGTCTGGAGCACACCGACTGATGCAGGTGACAGTCCTCAGATGGACAGAGAGGTTGCCAAAACTGTACTGTTAGGATTGGGCTTCTGAGTCCTCATTTTGATGGTTGTGTGGAAGTACTGGTTGGTATACTGTTTTGATTTAAGGTTTGTCCTGCACCTCGCTCTCTCCCTCTCTAATTACCAAACCTTTTTACAGTATTACAGGAAAAATGTCTGTATATTCCCACCAGACCATCATTACATCAGGAAGACTGCAGTGCTTCGATAGGTTTGATAATGATTAGATTACTACACTGGAACCAGAAAAATTGCACTTTGGATTTGACAATCACACCAACTAAAATAAAGTGTTTTGTTCCATTTATTATATGTGCGAGTTGCAAAATACAAAAAAAACACATGATCACATTAAAATTAAATAAATGTGTGCCCGTGTGTTCATCACTTTATAGCTTTGTACCACATGATGATTTTCTGATTGGTACTGCATTGCTATGTAAACCTTTAGGCAGTGACTGCTTAACTACTTTGTGTGTGTTGTGGACATCTAGTGGATACCTGTTGTAACTGCATTTTCAGGCTTCAGTCCTCTGTTTTCAGCTGGGCAGAGCTAGTAGAGGTCCATAAACATGCAATGTTTCCCTTCTGTTTTTTTTTTTGTAGAATAACACATAATACAACCATGTACTGTAAAATGACTAATTTACAATGGTATGTTTTGCCTGGTGCAAGCAGTTATAGGCTTTACTAAATTGGATTGAGACACTCAAGCCGGCCTCCTGTGATATTTTTCCCATTATACCAAATAATTTTAATTAGAATTGTAGGTAGTAATATATGTAATATGTTTGATGGGATTATAGTCTGAATTTTATAATCTATAATTTATTTTAATTATCACATTAAGCCCTACTAAGAATCCACTGATTTTCTGCAAAAACAGGTTGTAGTTAAAAAAACCACTGCACTTGCTGTACAGTCAGTGCAGTGTGCAGCTTTGGAGTAAATGGGCTATTTTAATATAGAAAAAAGGCTTGTACTTGGGCACTTTACCTCTGTTCAGGGAATGTTATATACAGCGTAATCCATGTTGGTGGTAAATTTACACTGTCGCTGATCTAAAGAAGATTTTAAGTATAAAACTTGATGGTTATTTCAGCAGTTTTAGTTTAGGCAAGTAAAAAATATACTGTGAAAGTTACTGTCATTAAGGACAGTGGGTATCACTATGGTTGCAAAATAGTCTAGCCGTAAGCATACCATTGAAGAAACAATGTACGCTGCATGCATTATGTTTACCAATGCGTATCCTGTAGGGCTAATTAGCAACTCCTAGGCCAGTATTGTCCAGATTAAATTAATATACAGAGTTTGTTTTGACGCTTGGTTTGCCAAAATTCTGCAGATCTCATGCTGTGCACTACGGCTGATTGAAGGTAGGCCAGTGAGTTTCTCATTAGTCCCACACTGAGTGAGGAGGTCACCGTTTTCTCGTTCTGTTCTTGCTATTGGCCTTTGTCCTGGGTGTTCCTTTGAGTGGACGGCGTGTTTGTGTCTTAGGTCCACCTGCTGGTGCAAGGTCGAGTGGACCTTCCTCCACAAGCAGAAACCAAAATCTGAGAGTAGATTATGCTGTTCTATTTATATGGATGCAGATTTATTTTTCTAGGTAACTGATGATTTTGTTACCAAATGTGGCTTTTTTGTGAAAAGTCCTGGATTCCTCTAATAAAGTCAATTTAAAAGTCTGTGTTGGTCATTGTTTGTTGTTAAGCAATTGTAAGTGCTTCATTTAGACAGCAAATTGAATTGAAACAGTGGACTAAGTTCTGTTTTCAATGCAAAATGACCTGATTTCATTTACTTCCTCTGAGTGAGTTTATAGGCCAGTCCTCACAGGGAAAGCTGCATATTACCCAGACTGGTTCACCACTATCCGTACAATATTGCTTGGCAGCCAAGGCCAAGATGGGGAACTCCTGGAAAGTGGCCCTAGGCCACCAGCAGTGTCTCCCATGGACATCAAGCATGCCCACCTAGCAGGAACTACCTACCCATCCTCAAGTACCTACAACACAAGCATCAGCGTTAAAGAAAAACCAGCCATTTTAAAAAGCCTTTATTGAGCAAAACAGGCAAGTGAGACCAATAGTTACCCAGTAACAAAACCACCACTGCTATAAATGAGGGGGGGAAAAAAACTGGCAAGTCATAGCATCTTAACAGATTCAAAAGTGCATCCGTGATGGTTTATGTGCATTAATTATCATAAATACTACATATACAAAACCAAGTCAGATTCCATATTCTCAGTGCTTTGCCTTGCTGTAATTCCTGCTATTTGAGCCACGTTCAGCTCTAATGAAACTGACCCAGCAGTTGTAGACCACAGAATAGGTTACTTCTTACAGTCCCAAAATCGACCTATGAAACATGCTTGTTTCTGACCTTTCACATAGCAAGAAAGACACTTGAAAAAAAATCTAAGCATAGAAAATTGGAGTGACTGAAGAAAACTCCCTTTAAATCCTTTGTCATTTCCAGGGTAAAAGGTAATACAAAATAACAGGAAAACAACCAAAATGATCTAAGAGACATAACAGACCTGGGGGGTGTGGGGGAGGGGGGAAGCACATGCAAGACCCACTGTTCCTCCCCTATTTGGATAAAACGCTACACCCTGGGAAATCACTCACTGCTTTGACCATTAAATTCTTTAAATTCACAGTTTATTCCTGGAATCCCTCATTTAGCCAGGAAAGTGATTCAGCTGGCTGTAAATTCTGTTACGAGGTGAAACTTCGTTACACAGTGAGAGACCCCACAGCAATGGGAACGAGTATCCAGAAGCTACCTTCAGTGCCACCGTGAAGCAGACACGGCCCAACTCCTGCTGCTGCCTTCTCACCGAAAAGCTTATAAGTGGTATGTGTGGGAGGGCAGATGAGGGCAAAATGACAGGGGGATTCCACACATGAACACTATTTTTAAACAGGAATTGCATACTGGAACGCAGTTTTATATTACCATACAAAGCTGCCATCACACTATTCTCTCTGTGCCTTTCAACTGAAGTGTAGGTCAAACCACACGTGAAATATCTACTACCATTATCATATTTCGGTAAAAGTGTTAGTATCATCTTACAAAATTTCCCTATAGCAAAAATGCAGATCCCTCTACAAATGGTCAACATTTAAACTTACCCATAAATAGATAAATCCACAAATGTAAAGATTTAGTGTTAGAGTACAATGGCAACTTGTTAGTAACCATTAAATTTTCTCCACTTCATCAAATAAAGAGATGATTAAAATTGTACAAACCAACGTGCTGCAATAGCCCTAAATAAAAACACTGATAAATCAGTGCCTACCTATATCTGTTTTGGGACAGCTTTGACAGGCTTTGGAGAGGAAAGAAAAAAATAACACAAAAGGCAACCCAGCTGTTTAAAGTAGCTGAAGTGAGATCATGCCGGACTAACGGACTCCCATTGCCTCCAGTTTAGACTTCAGCCTTGGTGGGTAAGTGAGAGGCTGCACAGGGCTCCACAGGGCAACAGGAGAGGCTGGCTGGGCTGTTCTCCTTCCTCCTTCCTCCTTCCTCCTCCTCCTCCTCCTCTTACTTCAATGTCTGGCGCAGTCTACTGATGCGTGGGCCGTGGCTGCTAAACATCAGCCGTGGGTCGAACTTGTACCTGGAACCAGAAGACAGGCTGCTGTGGATCACCGATCCACTCTGTTCTAAGTAGCTGAACTCACTGTGATTCTTAAGTTAATTCTGGCCTCGGTTCAAGTTCTGCATTTACCTCCCCAAAGTGTGAGGCCCACAAAGGAACACCCACCCCACCAACTGACCCTGAATCATAGACTCCCGGCGTACGGCAGGAGGCCCCTGAGCAGGACTGCAACATCATCAGCCGGTGGTTCATCTTCTCCAGAACCTCCTGGTCAATGCTCTTGGCGATGTTAGTCAGCTCGAAGGGGTCGGCCGTCAGGTTGTACACCTCCACAAACACCTGAGTGGTGACAAGCATGATAATAATGACGCCTTGTTCTTCCAGGCCTCTGAGTTCCCATCAGGAACACTTAGCTGCAGTCTAACAACTGAGGGCTATTCTCAGAGCATAAGATACGGATAAATGAAGTACAAAAATACACAGCAGCTCCGTTATACTGCAGAGAAAGTGATGGTGTCGCGCTGCACACGCTTGCCTCGTTGTCATCGAACTCGCAGTACTGCAGGTTGGCAGAGGGGGAGAGGGTGCGCACGCAGGCATAGGTGTTGTTGTACGAATCCTCGCACACACAGTCTGGGAAGCACTCCTAAGGCGGAATTGCAGCATCAGCATTTTTAACAGACATGACGAAGTGGAAAATCAGGGCCCCCTCTGCCCAAATCCCGACTTACCGAGACTCCGGGACCGAGGAGCGGACAGGCGGGATCCGACACATTGCTTCCCTCGCCCTCGTATTCCACGAGGATATCCGTCCTCCAGGTGATGTTCTGCCCTTGACCGTTCTGCCATGACAAAGGCATTGTGGGATTTCCGTTTATTAATTTCACCCGTGGTTCAGTAAACATGAACGAGGTATAAATATGGAACACTCTACACCCTACTCGGTCCATCCCCATTTTCGGGGCACCTACCAAGAGTGGAAGGAAAGACATGCCGTCCATTTGGGTCTGGTTGACACTGTACCCCGCAATGTCCAGTATGGTTGGCCCCAAGTCTACATTGGCCACCAGGATCTGATGATAGATTGACACAATGGCAATACGAAGAAGGCATTAAACTAAACAAATGTGCATGCAATTGCTATTTGGAGCATTCTGTACTTTACCTGGCAGGTCTGATTGGGCTTGATGTTCGGGCCTCTGACCAGCAGGGGCACTCTGATATCAAACTCATACAGTTGCCGCTTGTCCACTGGCAGTGAGAACTGGCCTGTGGACAGCAGAGTAACAATAAGTGGGGAGTCGAGATTGTCCGGGTTCTGACAGGAAGTACACGAACAGAGTGGGGTTCTGTATCTGCAGTGGCGGACAGTCAGACGGTGCTTACAGAATCCCTCCCCAGGGGGATTAGATCTTGTGCCATCTACTAAATATAACTGCAATACAACCCCCAAAATGACTGAGAATCAAAGCTTTTAATACAAATTCTGCCTTTGTATCAAAATTCGTGTATTATTTTGTAATGTAGGGTCTTTGTTCTGTTTAGAGCATTTAAAGTGTATAATCCATGCAAATCATTTGCTGCAATCCACTTTCAGCTTAAAACGTGAAAATACTTTAGTGCAATTGTGTGAAACCTGTGTGGTAGCCGTTGTCCGAGGTGAATATGATGTAGGTGCTGCTCAGGTCACCGTGCATCTCCAGCTTCTTTACCACTTTCTCTACCAGGTCATCAACGGACAGTAGAGTCTGCCACCTGGTGGAGATTGGGTATAAAATCAGATTTACGAAGCTGCGCCTCGGAGCGCAGTGTAGCTCCTGTGGAAGCGTTGAGGCCGAGTTACCTTTTCCGAAAAGCCTCATCCAGGAACTGCAGAGAGGAATTCGTCATGGGTGTCTTTGCTTGTCTGATCAGCCAGTGTTTGTCCTGAAGAAAAATAACAAAAAATTGTTTTTTTCCCCCCCTACGCCCTCCCCTTCAGACAGCCTTTGGCATCCTCCCAGCCTACCTTGCCATGCACGTTGAAGTTGGGGTCCCGTGGGGCCTTAACATTGGGGAAGCTGCTCTCATACTGGGGGGCAGCAGTCCATGGAGAGTGTGGGGCAGGCGTGGAGATCATCATGAAGAAGGGCCTATAGTTGGACTTGTACTGGAGGAACTCCAGAGAGGCATTGGCCTGAAAGAGCACAGTCCAAAGAGGACATTCTACTAAGGGACATTCTGGTCGCATGACTGGATAGGACTATAAAATAATTGCCCACCACAGAAAGACAACATTACCCAGACTGCATATGGGCTCATGGGAGTTTTACTTACACAAAAATGTTCTGAGGCCAAAAAAATGTAGAGGATGTGGGACCAAGACATCTGGTTGGTCCTGCCTCCTCTAGTTGCTTAGACCCACTTCTTCTACAATCTCTCTGAACCAATCATTTTTCATTCTGCCCTCAGGACATCTTTATGCAAGTAAAACTCCCATCAGCTGCATTTGGTCAGGACTGAGATCCATAGCGGGCTATGCATATGCAGGATGCCCGAGACGTCGACCATAAGACCATCAGCACTTACCAACACATCAGTCAGGTAGTCTTCACTGTAGTTATTCCCATGCTTCTGTGGTCTGCCGTTCACCGACAGAGTGTAGTTATAGTACTTAGAGTTTTTCTCCTGAAATCACAATATAGAGGGGTGACATGTTGGAAATTAACAGACATTACACAACAGTGTGTATAACGCAGGCAGGAGTGAAAACGCAAGTCATCATCTACCATTCACAATTTAGCATTCACACTAAGAACCACAGAAGATAAGTTGATTTGAGATGAGACCACAGCTTTGAGTGATGCTACAGGCAGTCTTAGTTTCCGTCATTGGTTTTGTTTTTACAAATCAATTGTGAGACCTGGAGGAAACATGGAAATTTTTCTCAACATGTAACAGAGTGATATAGCTGCCAAGACTGTGGGGTAAAAAAATGGAAATGCAACGCTGGTCCAGGTAGCACAAGGTCATCTTATCATCTTAAAGGACCACGGAGTACCGGCATCAAGAATCTAGAAATACTGTAGAAAAAACACACAAGAATGTTTTCCTGCGACTGAAATTTCAAAGTTGCTGATATATAAGGTTTTTATTTGTCAAAAACGACAAGATAAAGATATATTATTGCCAGTACAGTGACTGTTCCCTTCAGATCTTTGGTTTCCATACCAGAGAAACCAAATCCATTTTTAGCTTTAAATTTATGTGCTTATTCAACCTTGTCCACACTGCTCCAGGGAAGGGAAAATGTTTGCCTTTTATGGACAGATATGATGTCCACTTTGTCCGCTTTGTATTTACAGATCAGATTTTATGCAGGTAGAGCAACTGGATGAGATCGTTTAATGTTGCACTTCATCTATTATTGTGCAGTAATTTGTTTAAAAAGTAAACCTAAGATTTAGTCATCTTGTCTCAAACAAGAACAGGATTTAGTTGTAGCGTTACCAAAATGTGACCAAATCATATAAACAAAAATCTGAATTAAATTAAAACTGATTAACAAAATTTGCAAGCTGAATCATTATCAGTCAATGCTACTTGCAAGACATTCACGACAATATGAGTTGTAAAAGTAAGTCAAAAAAGCTCTAGGTGATTAATATCAGTGTACTCTAGGTTTCCTATACATCATGCTCTGTGTGCATAACTGTGTGATGTCATGGATACGAGTGACAGGGACACCTACCAGGGCAAACCAGTAATCCCAGCCTGGTGGCACGTGTTCCACACCACCAGCTTCTGCTGTCCCATACTGCACCAGGTCAACAGACACGGGACATTTCTTAAATGTTGGGCATATGTCTTTAAAATGAGGTAATTAACTGGGGGTGTTAACCAATCAATAACAGTTTGGGGTACAGCCTGCTAGCCATTTGCTTTGATGAACACAACTGCAAGCAACAGAAAGACTGTACTGGAAAGCAAATGATCAATAAATAAATATTTTTATAACAATTTAAAAAATCTTAAATTGTTTTAAGTAGTTTACCATCAATCCCTCATCCATTTAAATAGATTATTCAGCAAATGATCAATAAATAAATAACTGCTGCAATCATGTGATAATTCCTGGTTTTAATTAGGACAGATGACTGTGCATAAATAGAACATCTTGCTCTTCTTATGAATATGGCCATTTTGCAGTCTTATTTCACTTTACATTCATCATTTTTCCTTTTCTTTTTTAGACTAAAAATTTTAAATTTCACTGCACTGATTTTAAGTGACTTAATACTTTTAACTGTAGCTCACATTACATCATCTCATATCCTCCCTTTGGGCGTCAAACTGATTCAGCAGAGACTGATGAAACCACAATTAGTGTGTTGGTTTAATTATGGTGTTCAAAAGACCATTTTCTGAGAAACACCCCAGAAACGAGTTCCCACCTCATTCAGGTACTTCCCAGCAAAGAAGGTCTGGTAGCCAGCGTACTTCTGCAGCAAGGCGGGGAACGCCGTCGGCTCCTGGGTCTTCTGCCAGGCCCGGCTGCTGCAGTTGCCCTCCAAGGTGTTGTTGATCACATGGTGGTTGTGAGGGTACTTCCCCGTTAGGATGCTGGCGCGACTGGGACAGCAGAGAGGGCTGGCCACGAACTGGAGCGGAGTGAAGAGAAGGGGTGACCCAGGGGATCCAGTACAGATCCTCCAGCATTTACCATCATTTAGTGTCACCAGACGGCTGGGCTGCCCACTCTCCCGGCTTCTGCATTTGTCCTGGTTCTGGACACAGAGGCCCATAGGTGGAACTCATTGGAGGGGGTCTCTTACAACTGCTATTTTTGTATCAGTTAAAAATAGACTGGAAATTAGCTAAAAGCTACCATATAAGTACATACTGTACATACACATTTTGGGGACCTAATGCAAAAAAGTACATTACTGCTTTAATTCTATTTTAAGGGATTTTTTTTTCCTAAGTAGGCAGTTTTAATTTTGGTTATCGCATTCTGAGAAAAACTGGCAGTGTTTGGGTGGGTGAGCTGGATGGAGTCAAAAGATTTAAACTGTCAATATTATTTTCAAAAAAAGTTATTTTTGTTCACAAGATTAGAGAATTCAATCAACAATCAACAGCAAAGGATTTCAATACATTTCAACAATCAACAAATCTGACATCCCTGACAAAAAAAAAGTATTTGAATCCTACCAGAATTAATTGGTAAATGTTAAGCAATGCACTGCAGTCAGTACAGTTTGAAACTGAATTTTGAAAGGGTATTAATCTTCCCTATGATGAAATGTGTACTTACAGCATTGGTAAAAGATATTCCTGCATCCCCAATCAACTTTTTCAGCTTATTGAGTGGAATCTGTAGAAAAGGAGGTGGGACATTAAATAGGTTAAAATACATTCATTGCAGTTTGCTGTGAAAGCTAACATAGCTGGATACTGTGGTGATATGCCAAATCGGTTTAATTATGCAAAAAACGTGATCGTCAGCTAGAAAGACAGCATGCTCACTCTGCATCTCCAGGATAAAAATCGAAAATCTATGTGATGTAAGTGGTAGGCCTTACGCGAAAAGAACCGGATTAAGAACATAGTTTTCCCACAGTTTCAAGCAGGGGAGACGTTTACAGGATTTTAAGCAGTGTCAATTATCTAAAGATTCGCCAGCATTACTTAGAGAATCTGCCAATTGTAGAAACGTTCGGCCTTTTTGATTGTTAAAGTTGAATTAGGTCGTCTTGCATCTGAATTAAAAAATGTTAAGGTAAAAATTAGATACTGTTTACATCAGATGATTTTTGTTTTGTATATAGCAAACTGTTATGTAATTCTGTTGTATTTGCTCAGAAACGACAAACAAAAACGCAGAAACAAAAGCAAAAATACCAAGTATAACTACCCTTACCATGCCACCGATTGCAAAATCCAAGTCATCGGTCAAGATCAAAACTATATTCGGTCTTCGAGACTTTGCAAGAACTACCGTGCTACTGAACAATAAAGTGACGCAGATCAGGGTACAGTGCAACAGCCGAAAATGTCTGTAAAGACTCATCTTCGCAGCAAATTACCGGACGGGCAAGTCGTGTCCGCGAAAATGCTCTCTAGATTTACACAAGGTTGAAATTTTGTGGAAAACAGATGCCTTTAAATGTGAACAGCAGCGAAAACAGCCCTGAACTGCACACAGCGCTTTCCTGATGTCATGTGTTGCTTGACAGCGGAAGACCCGGTCAGCTGACAGCACTGGGCTCGCAGCAGCCCTGAATGAGCTCGATGTCTTTTCTTCTGATTGGTAGATTATTGTGTCAATCGAGTAACCTGACTCCAAATACCGCGCCTTCGGCCATAAATATACGTGTATAAACGCATTTTATTACATTGGGTTCAGCCTTAGCACGCAGTTACTTTGAAGGGGTTAGGACTATATAAGTCATACTGTGTTTCGTGTTTTTTGTGCAGTATTTTTTATATAAAAAATAACATTTCTGAGCATACAACTGCATTCATGTTCATGAATTTAATGTCATTTACTATCATGTCTTTACAATAAGCTGATTTCTAGTAATATAAACCGCTTGAATCTTTGTGCAGAGTATCACAATACTGGTGTGAAAAACCCATTACAAATACAAGCGGAGGAGGGGGGGAGAGAGATCATGAATGTGGTGAAAACGGATTGAATAGTATTCAGAACGGGATTTCTGGTGCCATTTAATTATGAAAATTCGTTTCATCACACAACCTACATATCTTATTCAAAATAAAATCGGAGCCATTATATATTAACTGATTTACTACGCGTAGCCTACTTGCTGAATAATCTATTTAAATGGATGAGGGATTGATGGTAAACTACTTAAAACAATTTAAGATTTTTTAAATTGTTATAAAAATATTTTATTTAAATGTTACAGAAGAGTCACACAAATGTTTTTAATTTTGCCAAATGTTTTAATCCTAGCAACATTTCTGGTCTATTGTTAAGGAGCTAGTTAATTTTGCAATTTAAAATATTAAAAAACATCCACAAAGCTCCCAAAAACTAAGCTAAATCAAATTCTTGCAATCGACAGAACGGAATCTATATCGACCTATGGCTGCATACTCCCACGTTTAATGAAGACAGTCGCACCTGTTGGCAGTGGCGTCTAACCCACAGAAAAGTTTCAGCCCAGACTGTACTATTCACCCCCAGGAGGGGAGTGAGCCTAGCCGCCGAAGTTTGAGAAGGGAAGGAAAACAAGGGAAGGGAAGCCTTAAGCGAACGAGCCCAACCTCGCGAAGGAGTGGAATGGAATGCACCAGGATCCGGACCTGCTCGGCGCGGCTCGCAGTCTCTTCGGGCGCTCGGTGTACCTGTGCGCTTATTATGGTGCTGTAAACACTTACACTGTAACAGTTACCCTGGTCCCGAAACGACACTAAACTGGGCTCGTCTCAAGTTAAAGCAAGGGAGATACTGGAGACATGGCGTCTCAGGCAGAAGTAGGTGAGGGCGAACTTTTGGAAATTGACATATGCGAAGGTGAGATCCTTTCCGAGGAGGAGAGCGGCGTTTTTGTCAACCTGGCCACGTCGTACTCGGACGGGCTCCCTTTATTTGGCCAGTGGGCAGTGTCGGGCCACGTAGGTCAGCCCGGGGAAAGCGCCTTGGAGAGAACCGCCGACGAGGTCACCGCGCAGGCGGCCAGCCAGGTTCCTACAAACGCCAGGACCCCAGGCGGCTCCGTGAGCTCGAGTACCGGGAATGGCGAAGCCTTGGGGGATGAGCCCCGATGCCTGTCCAGAGCATCTATTTTGGACTGCCTTTTGGTGGAGCTTTATGACACCTACGATGGCTGCTATAAGAGGAGCGCAGACAGCATGGACAGCTCTACCGAAGCCTCTAGCTCGGACGCCTTCTTGGGAAGAAGTAATTCCGGCTCCACTTTCCTCCAGGAGCTGCAGGAGAAGCACACTGGCCGGTATCAAATGAATTACCTGGCTCAAAAAGGTGCGATCAAATAGTTCGTTTTCCCCACAAAAACGATTTTTTTTCCCTTTTAAGCGCTATTTATTTGCAGAATAAATTTGCAACATGCAATTGACCTGCTGCTTTGGTATAAATATCACTGTTAACAGTGTTAAGGCATGCAAAGTGAAAACGGCCGCGTAGAAACCCGTATGTATTCTGCATAGTTTAGTGGCAAAGACAATATACTGTATTATCTTTGATAAGAACGCCAGGAAATGTATGTGGGCTGTTATTTTACCCAAAATGTGCTTTTGACTTTTTTGCTGCCCTTCGGTAATAATTAATCACTGTGTCAGCTCATGCAAGACTATAACTGTAATACACTTGGACCGTGGACAGTAACGTTGGACTGCTCCTCTTCCCCTGCAGACCCCGAGGAGCTGAAGTCGATTATCTATGAGGTGAAGTATCGCATCGGGATTCAATCTGCAAAGTTAGTCCGCCAACTGAAGAGGAAGGACCGGCTGCATAACAAGGTGCAGAAGAAATGCGACATTGTGACCGCCTGCCTGCAAGCCGTGTCTCCAAAAAGATGTAAGAGCATGGTTTGATCCTTCTTCGCTGTGCTCTTCAGGTGTTACTCCTCTAGTGATGCAGATAGTGAACACCTGTGACTGTGTTAGTTTTGTTGTGTTACTGGGAGGAGCATGTGAATTGCACGCTCACTGTCAAGTGTGGATGTAGTCTGGACGCTGGGAGGGTTTAGATGTGCAGCTGGGGATTGTCAGTCTGGTTTTCAGTCCTGTGTGTGAATTCATTTAAGAGTAAAACTGAAAGTGTCGATTTTAAAACGTTTGAAGAGACAGGAAATGGAAACAGGAATTTCAGAAATTGTGACTTATCATTAACGCAATATTAAAACGTGGTGTTTTGCTTTAATTTGCTATAGCTGTGTGTGTGATGGGCAGGTGATCTCATGCACTTCAGGATAGTCTTTGGCTTCATCTTGTAGCGAAATCAGAAATTATTGCTGGATTAGTAATAGTCATTGCCTCTCCTGTAAATCATATGTATCGGGATATAGTATGGTGTGTGTCAGTATTTCTGGTTACGAGTCAGATTGGGACAAATGTTGGTCTTTTTAGCCTGTTCATACATATACATTTTATGATCTCTCCATTTTGTAATACATTCAAAATGTATCTCTGGGTGTTTATTTCTTCCCAGTGGTCAAATTTCGGTCTACAGAGTTATTCAGGGACGTTTCTAGCTATTGAAAAGATCAGGGGGCAAGTTAAGTTTACCTGGGGCTTTATTTTATTTATTTGTGTTTTTGAAGGAGGGCTGGTATCGGGGCTAAAATACTAGGGGCTATGAGACATAATGATGCCCATGGATTTAGTCACATTAAAGATGTCTAATTTCTCTGGTCCTGTTGTGCATTCCCCGGGGAAATAGTGAAAATGGGACAGACCGTCAAAATATGAAGTGCAACTGTAAATGTATTTGATAAATCTGCAAATGAGCATTAGTGTTCTCTAGTATTCTGTACGAGGCCCAGCTACTGTAATGCAGCATAATAATGTAGATGACACCTTGTTTTTTGGAGAATGTGTTCATTGGTATACACATTGCATAGACTGATTAGTATAAGGCTTTGCATCAGTGGTTCCTACCCAGTAGTACCAGTTAAAGTTCATATAGACTATTTCCTGATTGATTTATTTTTATTTATTTATTTTTTCCTTCTTGACGTTTAACATGCAATGAAAAGAAGTTTCACCTCTTGCCTGTGGAGCTGCAGTAAAATGTCTGATTCAATCTGTACATGTTGGCCCAGAAGTTCATTTAACCGTTAGCCTGACAAAAGGAGTGTGTCTGTATGTATTTTTTATTTCTGCTGCCACTAAAGAGTGCTAAGACTCAGTACCAGTACTAAGTGACACTAAGACTCAGTACCAGTACTAAGTGACACTAAGACTCAGTACCAGTACTAAGTGACAGTACCTAAGGCTAGAGTCTTATGGTGGGCAAACAACTCAGTAGCTGCTGGATAAAGTAGGTTCCTGGAGAACTGTTATTAAACAATTGTGCAAATGTTAAATGATCATTTTATAAAACTTAAGTACTGTTGTTGTTATACACCCTTAAAATGTAAAAGTGCACAGCTGCGTGTGATACGCTGGCTTACATACTAGTTATTTCTATAAGCGGGAGAACCATTTGAGATTATATTTCCCTTTAAATTACACAATGTTAACGGCCTGCTTCTAGGTGCCTGTAGAGCTCCTGTATTCACAGTTGATTCTCTGCCATTGCAGATGGACAAATTGGGAGGGACATGATGGCACTGTGTTTGCGCTTTCAATTTTTATGAAAATCTGAAAAGAAAAGTGAACCTTAAAACACAATTGAAATGTCACCATATTGAGCAATAGCGTACTAGCTTGGGTGACCCAGATCTATGGTCAGTCATTCCATTCTGTGGTTTGCTTATTCATGGTTTTTTTTTTTGTTTTAATCCACATGCAGCCTGGTAGCAGGAATCAAACAGGTATGGTATTCACAGCACCAAACCCTGAGAAAGCATGTTGTTGTGAATGGAAATTGTTCAGTGTTATGGTTTTTTTTATTATTTGTGAAAGTGGTTAGGTTTCTTGCTCTTTGATGATAATGAGGAAAGATTACACCCAGATGTGATTAGATATGCATTAAATTAGACCCCCTTAACCGTCTTTTCTCTGCCATGTATATTCTGCCTTACTGCTATGAATATTTATGAAAAAATATTAACGGCCGTGGCAGGTGTATTAAGTGTTTATATAATGTTCTTTCCCTTAAACTAATTTATGAATTTCTGGGCATTAAGGAGGTAATTTTTCGTAGCTTCTTTTTCGTCATGCTTCTTTTGAACAAGTAATTTTTATTCTGACTTGATTGAAACCCGAAACATTTCAACACATTAAACACGTTACGGTGTGTTAAATTCTGAAAATTAGCAAGTTTGCCATTACCTGTCTTTATAACAAGAGCGGTAATTTAGCCTTGTAGTCGTCTTTCAGCCACCTGACAGTATTTTAGATACCAGTTAACTGCATCCGATCCTGGCTAAACGTTTGGGAGATACTGCCCGCTTGCCGCTCCCTTCCGCAGCCGCCGTTACCGGAGGTGTGGAGCCGTGACGCCGCGCGTGTGGGTGTGAGCGGGGTCCCGCTGCAGCAGTTGCATTGCAGACTGCGGATGGTCCGCTGGGAGCTCGGATGACCTCGTCGCTACGACTGCATTGGATGTATATATCGCTTTTGTAACGTAGGATGCAGAATGCCGCCCTTGTGCGGCACTCGAAGCTGAAATATTCAGCGATCGTAAATAATTTTATTTTGCGAGGAGCGAACCGCGGATTCAATCGCTGAGATGCATGAAGCAGTCGACCAAGTGATCGCTGCCACCCTTCTAAAGAACAATTAATATCTCTTTGTCCAAGTGTGGAGGGGGATACCGGAGACTATTCGGAACTGTTGCCAAACAGTGAGCAATAGCAAATAGAAATTCGGTGACTGGTTCAGGCACGTTCATTTGATTTTGATTTCATCGCCCTGGATTTTTCTCAATGAAGCAAGACAGGCTCGCCGCCTCTAAAAGGTCTCGGGTCTGTGTGAAGCGGCAGACCGCTGGAGGGGTCGGTAACATCATCAGCAATGTCCTGAAGAAGCGCAGCTGCATCTCCAGGAGCGCTCCTCGCCTGCTGTGCACCTTGGAGCCAGGTGATCTGGGCGCGATGCCTCCATGCCTCTTTGGTTACTGATAACGAGTGATCACCCTTTATTCAGGAGGGGGATATGCGCTGCACGTCATTGCGAATCCAAGTCTTCTTATTCTGAATCATTTTATATGGTTGATTATACGCTGGATGTGTTAAGTCTCCTCGGTTGTTTTTAATTTAAGGGTACTCAGATTAATGTTTTCTTTTGTAGTCCCCCTTGTTACCGTGGTTTACCACTTCACGGCTATCGACTTTAAATAGCCATATTTAACATACATAATATTGACTGTACTCTATGTAATATACTCTATGTAATATAACCGGCATTTATTCATGCGTCGTTTAACGCTATTTTATTGTAAGGTTTTCAGGAAGTAGGAGGACTCCCTTCCAGGACTAATCGTTTAATCCCTTTTATCCTAAATATTCAAAGAGAAATGAAAGGGCTTTCAGGAAACATGGTGGAAGACATAACCGGGGGTTTCGTGAGCCGTTCGGACGAGGCGTCATGACGTATGCGGGTGCAGGTTATTATAGTTTGTTTAAAAGTTAAACTGTTTAAGATCTAATCCGTGTGAGGGCTAAATTTAAGGCGACACCGTGTTATTGCTGCCACAGAGCTCCGCGATGGCTGCTGCTGCAGTTGGCTGGCCGGTGCTTCGTTATCACCGGACCTGTATCTTGTAGTGAATGGCTCGTTACTAAAAGCTTGGCAGATGAACATTAAGGTGGATGTGTGCTGTTTTGATTTTTTTGGTATTTGATCTGGCCTCCATGTACGTGCAGCACACTTTGTTGTCAGAGAGCGGAAGTACGAAATCAGCACCACGCAGCGCGGAACAGCGGCTTGACATTTTGTGTCAGCGAATATTGTCCATTCTCTTAATTGTCTTATTTTAAATAACTCATGGTCAAAATAACTTCCTCTTATCTGTTTTCCGTTTTTTTGTTAGAAAAATATGCCCGCTACCTGGTTATATTTCAACGGGCAATGGTGGGGGGGTCCGTCCTTTCATAAAAGTGCATGACGTAATCGCTTCCCAGTAAAGACACTATGCCTTAGGGCGATGGAACAGTAGCGCTTCTAATGTCAATTTCTGGTCTTTCTTAACTTGTTTGACATTTCAAACGGAGCTGGCGAGTTGAATATTTTACCCATCATTTTGGTTGCCTTTTTTTTGATGACTTTAAGTCAAGGTTACAAGGGGTTCTAAATTTGAAACTGGGTTGGTGGGTGAACCAAACCAATACCTCTTCAGTTGTGTTCTAATTTGTGTATTTTTTCACTTGGTTAATCAGGGGTGGACACAAGGCTGAAGTTTACCCTTGAACCATCCCTGGGTAAAAATGGCTTCCAGCAGGTGAGTAGTTTTAATACGATGCTCCTGCACTCCTTGTCTGTGAAGCTGAAAGGCTTTCAGGCTTTTTTATGCCACAGTGTGTTTGAAATTGAGAAGCTGTGGGATAGAGCTTATGTGAGTGAAGCAGGTGGTTGATGACAGTCTGGAGTGTCATGTGACTTGTGTCTTGCAGTGGTTCGATGCCCTCAAGGCTGTGGCCCGACTGCCCACTGGCATCCCCAAGGAGTGGAGAAAAAGGGTAACGTCACCTGCCCCTCCTTGGCTTTCAAGTGGAATTATTTTTTTTTTTGGTATTTTTTTTTAGTTGCAATTGCAATGTAACACCAAATTTGAATTCTTAGTCAATTCCTAGAAATTCAGCTGAACTAGTAAACTACTGTAGTAATGAATTGTGATTATTATAATAATATTTTTTTTTAAAAACAAGCCAATACAGTGGAATCTTATTTTCAGCATATATATATATATATATATATATATATATATATATATATATATATATATATATATATTTATATAAATAAATATAAATAAAATGAATTTTTCTCCAGGTGTGGCTGACTTTGGCTGACCAGTACCTCCACAGCATCTCCATCGACTGGGAGAAGACCCTGAGGTTTGCCTTTAATGACCGCAGTAACCCAGACGACGACTCACTGGGCATCCAGATCGTCAAGGCAAGGCACGGGGCTCTGAGACCTGGCCTGGAAAAGATGCCTGTCTAATGAGCCATTTTTATAAGTGGTTGATTGTTTCTTGGTTTATTTCAGTCATATAGGCTGTAAAATTTTTGTGCAGTTCGATTTTCACTCGCTTGCGTGTATGTAGTACTTTTAATCATTTATTCTTCATCAGATCTACATGGTAATTGTTTAATTCTTCATTTATTAATAAAATTCAGCCAGCATTCAGTAGCTTTGTCCATATGTCACATTCATTTGCTACCTCTGAAGCAATTTAAGTCCTTCCAAGCCTGTCCATAAGTCCCCTTTTTATGCATCAGCCTGACTTTTATCCTCCTAGATGGATAATTACAGTAGATTCTTGGCTCCAGCCAAAGGCGTGTTTGTAATGGAGAATATCAGTATCAGGATGTTTGCTCATGCCGCTCTGTCAACACTGAGCGCGTAATGGAAAAAGTGAAGGCCTGTGCCGTTTCTGCCATGCATGCATTTATGCAGAGTGCTGAACCATTGAGTGAGCGGGAAGCGGTCCAGCTTTCTATCTTGGGTCTTCCGCTCTGCCTCTGTATCTCTGGCTGTTGTTCCATAGTGTCAGTCATTGCCCTGTCTATCTGTTCTGAACATCAGAGAGTGGATGCACTGATTAACTGGCTTCATTCAAGAAGAAGCAGACTTGCATTATGTGACGTGGACTTTTTGATTCTTCAGGACCTTCACAGGACTGGATGCAGTTCCTATTGTGGCCAAGAGGGGGAGCAAGACAGGGTGGTCCTGAAGCGAGTGTTGCTGGCCTATGCACGTTGGAACAAGAATGTTGGTTACTGTCAAGGGTTCAATGTACTGGCGGCTCTTATTCTTGAGGTCACTGAAGGAAATGAAGGGGACGCTCTGAAGGTACAGCTTCACCAGAAGTCAAGGCATTTTTGAGCTGTGTTGACTGCAAGACTTAAGGCGTGAGCAGTGAGCCTGTTTTTATTTGCACCTCTGCAGGTGATGATCTACCTGATAGACAAGGTGCTTCCTGACAGCTACTTCGCCAACAACCTCCGTGCACTGTCCGTGGACATGGCCGTGTTCAGGGACTTGCTGAGGCTGAAGCTGCCTGAGCTCTCTCAGCACCTGAACTACCTCCAGAAGGCAGCCAACCGCAAGGGTGGAGGTGAGTAAAACTTGGTCTCTCTTTTTCAGCTGCGTCTCAAGTAAGAGATCATCACCTGAAGCTCAGTACAGCAGCCTACAGCTCAGTAGTGAGCACATCACTGGCTTGGGGTGTTTCAATACCAAGAACGTGAAGATCGTACTTGTGATCTTGGCAAGAGCAGTCTTGCTAACTTGCCTCCCAAGAACGAACTTGGGGTGCAATGAATCATGGCCTCCTTTGGCGAGGATGCATTCGATGTATCCTTGATATTTGGGGGCGGGGCAAGAATGACAGCTGGGGATTTTTACTGTCCTCTGTACTTCTCTTCTTGAGTATTGGAACTGGTCTTTGGTAATGGAAGATGATGTAAAACGGGCACATAAGAACATAAGTACGGTCAAGTCTGCATATTGAAAAACATCGTTTGTGTTATCCCCCCACAACCTTTCACCCATGACCTATGCCCTATGACCTTTCCCCTCCGGTTTCCTGCACCAGGGAGCTACGAGCCACCGCTGACCAACGTCTTCACTATGCAGTGGTTCCTCACCCTGTTTGCCACCTGCCTGCCCCACCATACCGTGCTGAAGATCTGGGACTCGGTCTTCTTTGAGGGCTCGGAGGTGCTCCTGCGTGTGGCGCTGGCCATCTGGGTGAAGCTGGCCGAGTGAGTAGGTTTGCGTCTAACCTGTGGCAGCCACTCCGGGCAGCAAGCACAGCGTTGCATGTTTGATTCCCGGTGAGAGGAAAATCTCTTTATGGTTAAGTGACCATGTAGCCTGTATCCATCGGGCTCAGGAGACAACTGGTATCCAGAATTCCTGGAATGTTCTTGTGTTCAGTGTGATCTGAGACTAGTTAAAGTTGTTCGTTTTGACATTGTTCAAATACTGATAGTTACAAAGGAGAGAGAAGGTTGTTCTGGAAAAGCTCCCCCTACGCTGCTGTCTAATCTTGAAATGGTGATTTGAAGGATTCTCTATGTAAGACTCATACAGACAGATGGATGTTCTTTCTTCAGTCTCATGCTCATCACCATGGGAACATGCTCCCTAATGGGACCGCTCCATGTCTGTGAAACTGCAACATCATAAGGAAGTGGTTCGACGTGGGTTCTGGTATCCAGCCCTGTGAAGCCGTACGGTGCTGATTCACTCTCCCCTCTGCTAGGCGGATCGAGTACTGTCAGAGTGCAGACGAATTCTACAGCACTATGGGCTGCCTGACCCAGGAAATGCTGGAGAACAATCTGATTGATTCCAACGAGCTCATGCAGGTGGGCGTCTGCCTTGACGCCAAGCAGGGCCCACACCTGGGCTTAGGGATGGGTTCGAGTCCCAAAAAATCCTCACACAGTGGTGCAAGTGGCTAATGCAAAATAATAAACATTGGGCGACATATATGACGCATGTGGGTAATATTATGTGGTGAGTCAATCAGGAATAAGTATTCTGTGTGGAATGAACCAGTGTAGTTTTCTTAGTGTTCTTGCAATCCAATTTACATAGGTGGACATTTCAGGTCCAGAAAGTAAAATCCAAACCAGGATTTTGTTTCAACCAACCAGTTGAGTATAAAGAGTCACAGTCACAGAGTACTGAACTGGTTGGTTGAAACAAAATCCTGGTTTGGATTTTACTTTCTGGACCTGAAATGTATTGCAATTGCAATTACAGATGCAGTAAATACTGGTCATGTGTCCCTGTAAAGAGCAGTCCTGGTTCACTGACTTAACCAGGTTATATGAATTATTTAGCGATACATTATTTAGGCACGCAGTCATCTCCTGCTGGTCATGTGATCATTTTGATTTGGCACCTTGCGCTCTTAACTCAGCAAGGCGTGAAACATACTCTCCAATTTATTTATCCATTTGTTTTTCTTTTTTTGCGGACAGATGGTGTACTCCATGGCTGCCTTCCCGTTCCCCCAGCTGGCAGAGCTGCGTGAGAAGTACACCTACAACATCACGCCTTTCCCCGCCCCCATTAAGGCCAGCGGCAGGTGGGTCTTCCGGAAGGATCCGGGCCTGCCTCTTAACATTCGCCATGCTCTGGGATTCCTTAGGGCAGGCTTCCCCAGTTCCGGTGTGTTTCAGCAGGGAAATCTGCTAACTACGTTGCAAACTGGCCCTCCAGGACCGGAATAGAGATTCCTGGCTTCGAGCCTGGAGTTACTCGATTCTCCTGGACAGTAACCTAGGAAGGGTCCTGTTGTACTCCATAGTGAGGAGATTGAACTGGAGCAGCTCGGGTTGACGTCTATTAAAGTGCAAATACAATGGAGTACAGTGGTAATGGTTAAGGAGCTAGACTTGAGTCCTTGAGAGTGCAGGTTACTGGTTGCTTATAGTAGTTCAATAGATTTACTACAGAAAGGTACTATAAATTAATGACTAAGAACTGTCATCACAAGCTGCTGAAGATGGTCTGGCTGGCTAAATATCACCTCTGTGTATTATGTAAGGATAGCTGTCACATCAAATGTGGGCTGGCCGTTACCTGGCTTTACGCAGATGTGGCAGTCCAGGTCAACTGCGCGTTTTGCAGTTGGACAAATGCAGGTTGCAGCACGATATGTGTGCATGTGAATTTACCGCTACCTGGGAGGCTTGGGTGTCAGGGCATGACTTTGGGGTAAACATTAGGCCAAGCTCTGCATCTTTCTCTGCACTTTTTAAAAAAAATTATGTTTGTCTTTCAAATTGTAAGTACATAAAAATGAGGTCACTGATCACAAACGGTCTTGTGTTTCCAGCAGACACTTACATGAGGGACAACGCTGACAGGGACAGTTTCTGTCGTGACAGACGGTGTTCGGTGGACAATCTGTTAATATATCTGACATTCCTAACCCTTTCATCCAGTGGAGTATGGGTGCGTCCTTGACTGAGGTCAAATGTAACTAGAGAAGAACCTCCTGTGTTGTAACTGCTTGTTTGAGATGAGTCTGCAGAATCTTCTGGACCTGATGTTCACAGCTGTCGCCTCTCTGCAGGATTCTGTTTGGACTTGTGGTGGAAGTTCTTGGAGCACATGAGGTCACTCACAGCTTCCGTACTCTAATCATCTGAGTGCCTACAGTGGCACATCTGGCTGTTTGTAGTAACGCTAATGATCAGAGGTGTTCGAATTCGGGCAGGAAGGGAGTGTTTCCTTTGGACGAGGTGTGACTCAGACTGCTGTTCTGGCTGCGTGGTGTTTGAATGTCCTTCTGCATGTTACTGGTTCCATCAGATAATGTCTGGACTGGATGCTGAATACCACATGTGTGATGATGAGCTTCAGGGTTTGTCCTACTTGACTGGTTCCTATGGGAACCTGGTGGCGGGTGTAGGTTGGGGTGGATTTGCCACTTCGTACTCACGCTGCCCCTGACTCCGCCCCTCTTCCGCTCGCAGCCAGGGGGGCCACGTGCGGGACAGTGACGACGAGGCTGATGTCGACGATGAGGACTCCCTGGCCAGTATCCTGGGCTGCCTGGGGCCATTTGGTGGCCTCCTGGCTCCTGAACTGCAGAAGTACCAGAGACACCTGAAAGGTCTGGCCATCCCTGCCTCTGCTACACAACTCCGGGATGCATTCCCTCCCCAGCCTTGCAAGAGCAGCGCGCGGAGTGTTGCCCTTTTGCGAATTCCACTGCTGCCCCTCTCTCCTGCCCATTTCCTCTGGAGGTGTGGACCCTCCCAGCTGTACTTCCTGCTCTCTCGTCCACCTTTCCTGTCAAAACAGGAAGCGGCTTTTTGCATGGAACCGTTGGCATCCACTGCTGACATGAGCATGCAGTCATGAGAGGTGGAAATTTCAGGTCCAGAAAGTAAAAAAAATCCAGCCCAAGTTTTTGTTTCAACCATCCAGTTGAGTACACCCTGACTGTGACTCTTCATGCTCGACTGCTCGGTTGAAACAAAATCATGGTCTGGATTTTTTTCTTTCTGGACCTGAAATTTCCACCTCTGGCAGTCAGGATAATATTCAGTTGAAAAAGTGCACAGATCCTCAAAGGACAAAATCATGTGTTTCTCTGAAATGCTAGCTGAGGTAATTTGATAGCTTGACTGTGCATCTTTTTGAAATGACACGAGGCCCAAGATGAGAAATGGTTGTCTTGGCCGTTGGCAGTAGGCTCTGTTCCTGCTTTTAGGACGTGGTGTTAGGGGCTGATTCTCTAAGGGGAGGACGCTTGGTACTGGTGTTGGTGTTTACTTACTGCAAAGCTGGATCTGTGTGCCTGTAGAAATGACCGAATGACTGATGGAGCTGCTTTCACCCATGTCTGATTCATATAAACTGTGTCAGGTCAGGGTCTGTTCTAAATTGAGGAAGGAATGTGGCTACAGGTAGCTTCCAGCTCTTCTTCGAATGCAGTGGCTGGGGAGTAAACTAACTTACTGGATTTGTACCCTCCCACTGCCGCAGACCAGCAGGGGGAGCTGAGCCAGCCCAGCCGGAACATCGCCGAGCTGAGCCCGGGGGCGGTGGAGGCGGGACGGGCGGAGCACCAGGCCGCCATCAACAGCATGATGCTGGAGCGCATGAGCACGGACATCAACGCCCTGAAGAAGCAATACAGCCGCATCAAGAAGAGGCAGCAGCAGGCCGGCCTGCTCTACATCCGCGGAGGTACTGACAGCCGGGGGCCGGGGTCTCCAGGGCCTGCGGAGGGTGGTTCTTGTGGGTTGGTCCAGCTCTTGAGTTGTCGTTTCCCCTCCAGGTTCAGAAGCACTTACAGAAACTGGGGTTTCTTCTGATCCCCAGAGCCAGCCAAGTCTGGGTAGTATTCATTGGCACGCACTGGTTGGGTTTGGTGGGGCACTAGGGGGCGCTGTTCTCGTCCTGCTTTTGGCTTTGATTTAATTTGTTTCGGAGCTGCTTGCTATTGGCAGGGAATCACATGGGCAAACGGGGGTGTAAAGCTAAACCAGATCTTTCTTTTTTTTTTATGGGTGAATCACAGTTGCCGTTGGACTCTTGGCTTACCATCGTCTTTTCTATTACCGCTATAGCTGGAAGCTCTTCTTTATTAAATCCCATTGCGTGCACCATGTGGTTTAATGGCTCTTTCTTGCTGGTTGCAGATAAATGTCCGGCCACCAGCCTGCTGGCCTCTCAGGTCCACCTGTCGCCTGTGGTCAACCACCTGCTCCTGGGGAAGCAGCCAAAAGGGCTAAGGGGCTCCAGGAATGGCCTCATCCCGGGGCCCCTCCCCCAGGCACACTCCAGCCCGGTCCGGAACGGAAGCCCACGAGGGCGGGCTCACTCACCATGGCGCGCCCACGTCCGCACGCACCGGCAGAACATGGCACGTGCCTGCGCCCAACTGGGCTTCACGGGCACAGCGGAGCCGGTGGACGACGGGACCGAGGAAGCGGAAAGCAGTGGGGAACTGGAGAGCATGAAGCAGGAGCCAGACCAGGAGGGTGAAGAGACGCCCCCTGAGGTGGTCCCGCCACCCCCCCAGGCAGAACCGGAGGAGGGGCTTGAGCAGGTCGAGCAGAAGCTAGCCTCCCTGGAGCTGGAACAGGAACCAGAGCCGTGTGTTCCACCAAAGACTGAAACGGTTCCAGACTCGGACGCCCCCGTCCCAGTTCTGCCGCCCCCACCCCAGCCTGGCCGTCGCAAAGAGTCGGACTCCTCCTCCAGCTCTGAGAGCGGGAGCGGAAGCTCGCTGCAGCGCAGTCCCTCCGTCGCTACTCTGAGCCCCCGCGCCCCACCGACGGCATTCTCGCCTTTCCCCAGCGTCAAACCGCTCCGCAAGTCCGCTGCCGCCCGGAACCTGGGCCTGTACGGCCCCACCGCGCGCACCCCTACCGTGCATCTTCCCCACATGAGCAAAAGTATGAGACTCGTGGCCAGCAGCGCCACCAAGAGACGATGACGGGGACTGAAGCCAGGCTGCTGTGAGACTCGCAGCCCCTCCCCCGCCTATCTCCATTTGGGCGGGGGGTGCAGCACTTATTTCCCAAGTTACAGTATTCAGAGTCAGGTTTATGCTGCCACAACCGAATGATGGCTGACCTCAAACTCCCCTGGAGAAGATGAGTGTCATCTAGCACATAAAAATATCTATGCTCAGATTAAATAATTGATATGGTTTTTGTTCTCTAAGAACCTGCACTGAATGAAGTACAGCATCGGTCCGTCCTCGGGGCGGGGATCTGGGACAGCTGTGTGCGGAGTGTGAATCTCATATCCCATAACAGGTGTTGCGCTCCACTTCAGTGCGGTCAGTGTGTCACTCCATGCTGAACAGCACACATGCCAGGTTCCGCACAATCGCTCACTGCTCTGCTGTGTATGGAGATGTGAACTCCATACGTGTGCCTTAAGGACAGGTGTGCCATAAGGGGCAGGAATCATTATGGGGGGAGGTGGGGTCTAGGTCCCCTTTTGGAGCCACCAGGGAAAAGGTCCTGAGATCTGGTTGTATGTGCTGTGTGTCAGACAGGAGCTCAGCGGACGGGCTGCCCCTGGGTCCCGGTTTCTCAGCACCGTAAGGGGTCCCACCATCCATCCATATCAGTGAGACATGAAGCTTCTAAGCCTGCTCTTCATGGCTGTCTGCTTTCATTCATACCTGTATGTTCTGCATTCAGCCAGTTTAATAGCCTATTGATGGCCAAGTTCTGTTTGTCATGTGTTATGGAGTGAAAAGCAACATAATGTGTATTTAAGTGGAAATGGGGAGTATGGTGTGTGAAGCCGTTCCACTGTCTGGTCCTGATATCAGCTTTTCTGTTTTCAGTGTTCATTAGAATAAATGCATCATGTAAGGCACAGTTTGCAGCTACAAAATGGCAACACCTTCAGATGGTCGGTGCGTTGCACTGAAAATCTGACATCCTGGTGGCTTTGTTGGGTACGACTCGAATCCTTTGTAGTTCAGATGAGTGTGATCTTGTGTGAGACACTCCTGATGATTTACTTGTTGCATTGCATCAAAGCAGTTGGTTCCTTTAGTCTTAAAGTGTGTAATGAATGTGGGGGAAGCATGTATTGACCTTCCAGAAGTTTAATTGCACAATGTGGTTGTTGATGTCTGTAAAGAAAATGCCTGTAGGCTGGTGGATCTGTAACTATAAAGACTGAATGCAGGGTTAGAACTTTGACCTAAGAAGTTCTTCATGAAATGTTTGTGACACTGGGAATAACTGACTGTTGGTAATCATGGAAAAAATATGGCTCATGCTTGTTTCTAAGTCCTAAATAAAAGAGTTAAGAAGCAAAGATATTGCTGTGACATCTTTTCGAAACATTTTGAGACAAACATTCCAGGTACCTTAATCCAACCAAGACCGACACGCTGCCCAACACAGCTGCTAGGAATCCTCACGCCACCTTGTCCTCTGTGTCTGAGACTTTCTTCAGCATCCATTATTCGTACTATGTGCTTTGATTTGATTTTGTGTAATTTCTAGTTTTGTCCACAAGGGGGAAGCAAATACCCTCAAGGCCCCGCAGTAGCTTAATGCAAAACTGACAAAATGTAGACGTTATGCACAGTGCAAACAGTAAATATGTTTACTGTGTACACATTTTGAAATGAAACCACATCAACACGGAAAATTTAAATGCAAGTTACTCTTTTATTAAGTAACCTTAACACATTGACCAAACACCACAGACTACATAGTGAGGGATATTAGAAACATCAAAAAGACAAATGTTAAGCCAAATAGAAATACACCAAATCAAATAATAAAAAAAATTCTCTGGGGCCTTTGTAGACCTGCATTAAATATACTTTCAGGGTTCAGTAATTTATGTCACCAAGATGACTTGGTGGCCCCTGGCCCTCCTCTGCCCCCCCTCTTGGCAGGCCAGTCTTTGACCTGGCATGTGTCTGACCAAGTCGGTATCTGGCTTGGTGTCTGTCGGAACAGGTCCCCTTCTGTTCAGTTGTCTTATTAGTCCTGGCCTCCTCTCTGCGGTGATTTTTCCCAAATCTGACACTGACAGTCTCTCCTTTGCAGTCTGCTTCTCCTCTGGTGAACCTTTTTGTTTGGTTTACTCTTAACAGCCTTTAGTCAAGTCACCATTTAGCTCATCCTTATTAATTATGTCTTTCTGTCTTTGCCCCGATACTTTAGACATTCAAAAATTGCCCAGTTTCCTCCACAAACGGAGATGAGCTTCTTTCCTGTTTGGTCCCTGAAGAGGTTCTTCTTTGGGTCCCTGCTTCTTGGTGCAACTGGAACCATTGACTCGTCTTGCCTCTTCCTCCACTTTTGTGAAGCTAATTTGATTGAAAAAGACGTTTTTCATTTTCAGTAGTATCTTCTTTGAAATCTTTGCTCAAAGTGAAATAACTCGCATAAATGACATGTGAAATGAACATAGTTTCTCTTTATGGATAATCGTATGGTGTTTAAACAGGCTGAGTAACCGAAGGAGCCTGGATGAATAAAACTATTGGCTTCAGCTATATTTCATCAATTTTTAACAGATTTTGAGTCTGTTAATGTGTTTTGTGATTAGTGTTGTGGTCAGTAGTTTTTCAGATGCTGAGCCGCTCTTGTTTTAGAGCGTACTCACACTTGGCTTGGTTGCCCTGTACTTGGCCAGAGCACGACTGCCAGCCCCTGCTGGTCTGCACTCACATTGCACTTAACAATCCTGAGCCAAGCACACTTTAGTCACCACTGTGTGACGAAAACATAGCAAGGAATCTAACATCTGTACTGACATCCTGGAATTTTTACCGTCCTCTGCACTTCTGTTCTTGAGTATCGGGGTGTTTCACAGTATGAGTACTTGAGAGTACTTGTGTTCTTGTGTGCCTGTTTTATGTCATCTCCCATTGTCAAAGACGAGTTCCAGTGCTCAAGAACAGAAGTACAGAGAACGGTAAAAAGCCTAGGATTACCAAGACTACAAGTACAATCTTTGTGTTTTTGCTATTTAGAAACACCGTTGGAACTGTTCTTCGGCAGTGGAAGACGACGTAAAAGACGTACATGAGAACAAAAGTATGGTGATGAGCAATGACGATATAAAAAAACCTACAAATAATTTAATGGCAAGAGATAAAACTTTATTCATAAAAGCTTATATAAATTTTTATAACAATAACAGGTAAACAATATTGGTTGCTCACTGAATGCTGTGATTTGATTTCTATGAAATTTTCTGTAGGTTTTGGTTGTATATTTAATGTTACATCATCAGCAGCATTAGCAAAACGTCGACATGTATCAAGAGGCAAAAAGTGTATTGTGTAATGGCTTTTACCGTGGAGAAACAATGAGGCAGAAGGTTACACAGTATGTGAGTTCATCAAATGCAAACCAACAAGTAGACATGAATTTTTGCCCCCATCCAAACCTCCCCCCCCTCCTTTCAGATGTGTTGCACAGTCATGGACAGTCCATGATGTGATGGATAATAATACATCAGTGAGAGATGGAAAATTTGTCTTTCAGGGGGCATCAGTCTACTGCAAATTTTGCATATTCAGAGTTAACTCAATAACTCAATAGCTATTCAGAGTTAACTCAATAGCACCGGATTAAGTAACCCCAACTGGCGTGACCAGCGTTAAATGGTACTATAAAGGTGATTACCAATTTGGTAATTTAACACAGGGTTTCTAAGGATGACCATGTACTTCAAACGACGTCCGGACAAAATGAAATCGAACGTGTATACTTAAGTTAGATGAATGGGGGGGGGGGAAACCGGCACCTCCCAGCTGGAAAACACTGAACTGTTTTGACCTGCCAGTCAACACATTGGCTGCCAGGGAGATGAAAGCTGCCTCACCGAGAGTGCAGTGTTACCGGTCTGTGGCTGGGCTCCCATAGTATCATTTCATCTCCTGTCCCTTACTGTGCACCTTCTTCATCACTTGATCCCATTTCTTACCATTGACCATTTCAATGGATGTTCCAGCTGGAAACCTCTGTGAAGCACATACGGTCAGTCTAAAAGCCCAGGCCTTGAAAGCATATTTCCGCAAGGTGCAGAGAACTCTCAGTTAGGGTTTGCCGTAGTGGTGTATGATTCTGGAGTCTTGGGTGCCTGCTGTGTTGATGCTTACATAAGAACATAAGAAATTTACAAACAAGAGGGGGCCATTCGGCCCATCAAGCTCGTTTGGAGAGAACTTAACTAATAGCTCAGAGTTGTTAAAATCTTATCTAGCTCTGATTTAAAGGAAGCCTGGGTTTTAGCTTCCGCTACACTAGCAGGAAGACTATTCCATACTCTAACTACACACTGTGTAAAGAAGTGCTTCCTGAAATTTGTTTTAAAATGTTCTCCCGCTAATTTCCACTTATCGCCACGAGTTCTAGTATTTAAACTAATATTGAAATGGCCATTTGGCTGAACAGCATCCAGACCTGTTAAAATCTTATAGACCTGGATCATGTCCCCCCTTAGTCTCATTTGCTCAGGGCTAAACAGATTCAGCTCAGCTAACTTCTCCTCATAAGACATTCCTCTAAGACCAGGAATCATTCTCGTAGCCCTCCGTTGCACCTTTTCTAAGGACACAATGTCCTTCTTAATGTATGGTGACCAAACCTGCACACAATATTCTAGGTGGGTTCTTACCAAGGAATTATGTAAATGTAACATCCCCTCCCTTTACTTAAACTCCATACACCTAGAGATATAACCCAACATTCTATTGGCCTTTTTTATTGCTTCCCCACACTGGCGAGAGTGGGACATGGAAGCATCAACATACACACCGAGATCTTTCTCGTAATCAGCTACCTTTATTTCAGTGGAACCCATAAAATACCTGTACTTTTCTGCTCCCTGCATGGATTACCTTACATTTATCTGTCTTAAATTTCATCTGCCAAGTATCAGCCCA